ACACACACACACACACACACACTCACCTTGCTGCTGCTCAGGCTTGGTGACAGAGGGAAAGGACTGACTTTCATTGACTGAGCCAAGAAGAGAAGAAACAGAAAGGATTACTCATTTCAGAAATTATGCCACTTTAAAGGTAAGAAGAGTCAATGATTCATGAACAAAATTATTCTTTTTTGATTTTGATCGGTTGGTTTACAAAAAAAATAGTTTCCATACAAAAAATAATTGTTTCCCTTTTTCAATTTTTTTCTACAATGAACTGATTTAACTTTGTATTTTTCACTCTTTATCAGACAAAACAAGCAATTTGAAGATGTCACTGGTAAATCACACATTTCTAGAATCTTTTAGACTTCAACATTACTTCTAAAACTAGAATGGCCCTACACCTCCCCCCACCAAGGCCCAACAGTCATTTTGAATTCAATCAAGCTGCACCAAAATGAACTCTCTGATAGAAATGAGTCCCTTAAATATGCTTGATTTTTTTCATCGAGATTCATAATTTCTTTTGCTGTGAAATCAGTGAAAATGTCAAATAAAAAGGTTAATGAAAGGGATAAAACCAAGGTTCTTCTCTGAACCATACCACAAGTCTCCACCAAGTTTCTTGCTTAAAACAAATATACAAACCAACCATCAAACACACGGACAATGATAAAAACATAACCTCCCTGGTGGAGATAATAATCTGATTTCATTTCATTGTTATCTTTTGTTGTGGCTCAGTTACGCGTGTGACAGAGGTGGGAGACAAGCGTAATAATCACAGGGTTCAGATGTACCTGGTGATTTGATTCAGGTCCGTTCCGCTCAGAATCTGTGTGGGAGAGGAAGGAAAAAGTGAGAAATTGATCATGTGTTAAAGAACAAATACACAGAGACTTTGTTTTTACATTCAGTATATGTAGTCTGCATGAGGATGTGTTTATTAGCATGTTACCTGTGCCCTCCAATGGTGAGTCAGCCCCCGCTTTCTCCAGCTCTCCTGGCTTTGACATCCTGATATCTGCAACAGGAAGACACGCAGACAAACAGCAGTCAGTCAGGCTGACTCTTAAATCTGTGTCAGACAGAAAATAAAAAAAGCAGAGCGAAGCAGAACAACAGACATTTTCAAAGCAGGTGATCAGAATCTGGATGACGAGAGGGGAAAGAGGATGTCCAGGGCGTCGATCTCAGATTAGAAGGTTGAGTGGTTTCAGGTCACGGAATGGGGCCCACACACTGTACTCCAAACAATGTGGCTGAATCACTCTCGGGTTGAATGCAGCCCACATTCATTCATTCTTTCCAATTAGTGGTTATAACACTGAGTAGGTTGACCCAAGGTGTTTGCTTGTTCTATATTTAACTAAGGGTGTTTACGTGGGAGCTCATATCGTTGTGTGTCATTCACGTTGAGACCACATCGCTTCCTGGTTCATACTGTTTTGGGGCAGTCCCCATGGCAACTGCAGCGAATACAAGGCGGAACGAAATGCAAGTCTTCAACTGTCTGTCACAAAGAGAACTGAGCATTTTTTGACAGAGGCGAAAAAATGGAAACTGGAAGGATCTGAGGAGAGATTTGAGAAAAGGTGTGTGTGAGAGGGATGTGTGTGTGTGTGTGTGTGTACATGTCTATACTGTGTACTTATGTGTGTTTTTGTTTTTGATAATCATGCACTATAGTATTATCCCAATACAAAAGCTTTTTTATTTGTCTGAAACCACAAACCTGTTGTGTCCATTTGAAACCCTCTTTTCTCTGTTCTCTCTCTCTCTCTCTCTCACATTCACACACCACACACACACACACACACACACACACACACACACACACACACACACACACACACACATGCAGAGCTACTTCCCTTTTGTGAAAACATGCAAATCAGCCCAACGACCAACTAATTATATCTGCCACCTGCAAAATAAACTCTGTCTCCCTCTCTCTTCTCACCCCCTCCTCTCCCATTTCTCTCTTTTCTTTCCATCCTGTTATTTTTCATGTTGCAGAGAAAGTTGCCGATGAGAAAGTGATATCAAATCGTAATTTTCCCACCACCTTATTGATGACACAGAAAAATGACATTATGACTCGTACATGACTTTCTGCAACACCAAAAACCAAGTGGTCAAGCATGGTTTTCACCATTTGGGGGCAGCAGTGATACACGGACGAGAGGACGACCCTGATCCACTGACCTGAAGCTGATTTCAAATGATCAAACAATGAGTCCAGTGCAACTTTTAATGAGATGAAAACCTGCTCCCTGATAAGACGCAGAAACACGTTTGCTTCAGGGAGACAGAAGTGAGAACAGCTGACTTTTGGTGTGTGCAGCGTCTTGAGGGAAAGGGGGAAGTTGCGATGGGCTCTGAAAGCTCCACTCTGCTGCCACACTGGTCAGAACTTGGGGTCGTATACACAAATACACACTGACCACAGGATGTCCTCCATATAAATGGACTTCTGCAAAAAGCCTTCGGTGACTAACCATGTAGGATGCAAGCGTCTGATTAATCTATTATTAGGGTCAAGTTTGTGGGTATTCCAACATTACTTACAGCTCCTGTTTTGATGCTATATAAAACTAGCAGCTGCTAGGGAAACCCCAAAACGTCCAGCATTTCTAATTTCTGGTAAAATCTGCCACAAGGTGAAGCTTCTTCCTCTCAAGGATGTCCATATTTAAAACTCAAGGAAAGTCAACCCCTCATAATGCACGTAGCACATTTACTAACGCACTGTGAATGTCACTTCTTTTACATTGGACTACCTTGTGCTCCGTGCGTGCAACAATAAAGCCAAATACACAATGTAAACTGATTGTCCGTCTTGTAAAAACAGCTGTAAGGTGAACTTTTATCTTATATCTGTGGATGATGCCCGTGTGCAGGGTAAGATGAGATGTGATTCATGGCTGGAAATGGCCGACAGACAGTGGCATGGTGGATAATGTGGTCAGTAATACAGTGGTGGGACAGTATATCAAGTTGCTGTGTCTTTTTCTCACTTCCCCTCCCGACTTCCCCTTGTACCGGGTTGAACGCAGAGTGCTAAACCCAACACTTACTGTCAGTGAGGCTATTAATATTAGCCTGGCTTTTCTCTCTCACTCTCTTTCACTCCATCTTTTTAAAACCTCCCCCTCTTTTACAACAACGCTGCACACAAACACGCAGCTAATTTTCACATGACAGAGCAGAGTTACATGTTGTGAATGTTTTAACAGTTTTAGTCGTCGTCACTCAATAAGCACAACAATAAAAGGCTTCATCTCTTTACATTGCCTGCGTGTTTTGTCTTTTTACATGTGGTGTGAAGTGAATTTATAGATTTAAGAAACTCTAAGTTGAAGTACTACCTCTCATTTAAATCTCCCTTCAAAACCTTTCTCTTTCTGAAAGCTTTGGGGATTTTTGTATTTATTTATACTGTTTTTAATAGTTAGAGTATTTTTTACAGCTTCTCCTTTTTTTTTGGTTTTTACCACTTTTTGTTAAACCCTATTATTATCACTATTATAATTGATTGTATTACTCCAGTGTCTCTTCCATCCTGTGACTGTATGTTAAACTCACAGCAGAGCTGAGTTCATCTTCCAGCCAGTGAAACCAGTGCGCTGCACCACACATTTAATGCTGTATAATCCTGTGTCACCATTAAATGATGCAACAGAAAGGAAGAAGAGTGTGTGTGCTTAATGTGGACTGTTTCACTGTTTCTGTTATTCTCCTCTGGGTATTTTGGCCGAGATGAAACTCCAGTGCAACCAACAACCCCCCCACCCTACTTCCTGGAAGGGGGGGCGGGGGGGGGGGGGGTGCTCTGGGAACTGGAGTCTATACAGACTAAATACAGATTTTCAAAAACGCAGAAGTTCCTACAATTTTGTCACAGAGAAATGTCTTCAAACTGAGGGTCAGAGAGTCGACTGACCGATTCTGTTCGCACAGTTTTGTGAAGACGAACAACAAAGCTGATGTCAGATTATGGGAAATATGAAAAATTATGAAAAAATGTGGCTGAACAAACAAATTGGAAAAATTAACAAGTCAATGAAGATGGGAAATAAGAATAAAGTGATAAAACAAAAAAGGAAAGATCTGAGATGTGACTATGTGATCATCAGAGCTGTGACTTTTCATTTCAGTCGTTGCTGTTTGTCGATTACACACAAAAATTACCTGGCACCTAAAATGCTTAATGGAAGATTACGAAATAAGATCATTAGTAAAAACAAATAATAATTAACAATAAAAAATAATAATAACCAATAAAAAGTGAATGCAGCTGGAATGAAGACAGATGTATGTGTACAAAGCAAAAAAACACATGACTAAATAATGTGATAATACACTGAAGGAAAAGGCCTATTAGAATATCTTAATTTGGAAGTTCTTCTGCGTTGTAAAATATTTTCACCTACTCCACTGATGCCCTCTGAGGAGATGAACAAAGTTGTATAGGGAGGCGAAAATATTCTTTGACAATACCAGTCATTTAAATTATGGAAATACCACAAAGTGAAATCTTGTTATTCATAACTTATTCTCTTTCAATTCTGATGAATCAATGATCAAAACTGCTGAAAAGTTAAATTAACCTTAACATGGATCTGACTGCACTGTTTTAAAATAGCGGCAGAAAAGCCCTTAATTCTAAAGACAATTAGTTAATACAATTTAATTCATCCTTTCTTTTGATTGTGATATTTATGTGTAACCCTGGTCAGAGTAAGTTACAGAAGGTCAAAGCAGCTCAGAAGTGACTCACTGGTTTTAGAGCCGAGAGTTACTCTTTAATAATCATCGATCACATCCACGTTTATAGAAATCATTATCAGGACGTCAAAGACTGACACTGAAATATGAGCTACTTGACATTTGGAGTTTAGATTTTTGGTAAATGGTGACTCAGTTCATTGTGCTGTGTTTTTTTTTGTGTCATTGTCAGTCAACTGAGACATGTCTGTCACCTCGCACCTTCTGTGCTGACCACCACTACGAAGCTTCTGCTTTGTTTTTAAATATTTTTTGTTAAATCCTGAGAAAGACATTTATTTTCGTCATTTCCCCTTTTGTTCATCTGCCCTTTATATTCCGTCATCAGACTGTTTTAACGTGTTTTAAATGTACTGAAAGAAATTTAAATTTAAAATGGGACAAAGCAATAATTACAAAATTGCAAACACGCACACACACACACACACACACACACACACACACACACACACAAAAACATGCAGGAATAAACCCTCTCATCTAAATATCTTTAAAGTGAACACACGTGTATCAGAGCCACATTGTTTAACAGAAGAAGGAAAAGTTGTTTTTGCCAAATGACAGAAAACTGATCACACAAGAGCTGTGACACAGATTTTTCTTCACCAGCATGTTTCAGAAGATACTTTCATAATTTAATCACTAAAGCTTTTTTGGCAATCACTATCCAGTATAAACACACACAAGCACAAGCGCACGCACACATACACACACACACACACACACACACACACACACATACACACACACGCTATGTACTTGCGAGGTGTCTGACCTTTCCCTCTGCCTGCGACAGGCATCCACCCATCCATCCATCATCCCTCCATCCATCCATCCGTCTCCATCTTTCTCTTCGTACCACCTCTCGCTCTTTGATGTTCTCTAATTAGCTGAGCTTCTTAGACCCAGTGGCATTAATCAACAGTGGAGACACACTTCTCTTACTCTCTCTCTCCTTCACACACACACACACACACACGTACACGGGCATACCTCACGCAAAGCTTAATTGGTCTTGGTAAATGAAGGCCAGCAGAGAGAGAAGGCTGCACAGACAGTTACTCACCTGGCAACCACATACTGGAGAAGTCCTTAGATGCTATGGCTGCTGTCTTGGTCATATCTGTGTCTGTGTGTGAGTGTGTGTGTGCATGCTATGTAAAGAAAAACTCTCACTCTCTCTGACGGCCTCAAACTGAAAAGGAGGAGTGTATGAAATCCTCTCTCTCTCTCTCTCTCTCGCTCACACACGCACAAACACATACCATAAACCACTCCCCCCCCCCAGCCCAACAGGAAGTAAGCCTCAAAAGAGTAGGAACTCAGCACACAGGAGAGAAAAAACAAGATACAAGAAGAACAGAAGAGAAGAAAGAAAGGAGGACATGCAAGAGGTTAGAGAGTGGGAGAGAGAGAGAGATTGAGTAGATAGACGAGGTGAAAAAGAGGGGGATGATGGGTACCGACGGAAAGTGATGGCGCGGCTGGAAACAGCCACTCACTCACTCACTCACTCACTCACACTCACACACACACACACCCTTGCTCAGTCACACATGCAAGTGAAAAACAGCAGGCTTGACATTCAGACTGAAGAGCGTACGATACATTTGTGTGATATATGACCCGGTGCACCTTCAGAACCTGGTGTGAGTTCTGATTTGAGTTTTCCCTCCACGCTTAGAGACTTTAACAGATACTTTAGGCCTCTTTTGTCTAACATGAGTCATGACCAATATCTCCTCAGTCGTATCTGAGGTTATGGCGTAGCAAATAGAAGAGTGGGCTGAGGTGGTCTGTTGAAGGAGGTCTCCACCGACGTGAGAAGATGTGACACATGCAGCCACAGCTCTGGTCTACCCCGGGTGGGAGGAAAACTTTTATCACTGTGCTGACCCCTAACTGTAGGCTGCACACACACACACACACACACACACACACACACACACACACACACACACACA